AGCCACACCTAGAAAATGAAAGAACTGTAGGGATAAATATGAGCAGAGCAGCCAGTGAGCTTTTAGAGACAGCTGTGTGCCAGTGTTTTGCTTGGATTAGCTTTTTTTCTCCTTGTCAAGTTTCGTTATAAGCAATAGTTGTTTGCATCTTATAAATCTTATTCCCTAATTAATCAAATTATAAATAGCCTATAATATGAAAACCAGTGCTACAGGAAAAATGCTTTTATTAGTGGTTATGGTGGCAGATACTGTGATATGTATTGATCTTATTAGAAGTGTTCTCATTCCCTGAGGGTGATTCCAAATCTTTCCCCTATGACAAATAAACAAAATGAATACCATCCTCATTGATGAATAAATTTTATTTCTCTTTTTGTCCACAGGAATAGCAACAACTATAACTACAGGATTAACTCTGGGTAAGAATCACTGAGGAAAGATCCCAGATCTGTGGTTTTTTAATAATTTAAATGAATTGAGTGATCTGTCTACTATTCTCTTTTCTAATAACTCACAGAGCTGGGGTATAGAAGAAGGTATGTAAAGTGAATATTTACCACAGACATTGACTTACCAAAGAACCTTCCAGAATTTGAGTACTTAAAAAAAGAACAACTTCATTCAGTACTTTTTTAATTCAGAAAAATATTTTAAATACCGAAATGATTTTTACTGTGGAAATTTATTTCACATTACTTTTTCAGTCATTTGGCTCCATTTAGTGTGGAAAGTACCAAACTATAAGCCAGAAGCCTTGGAATTAAGCCTTGGTTGTACCTCTAGTTGTAAGGCCTTAGGTAAAATCTGGGGTTTTTAGTTATCTTTAAAATGAAAGTATTGAACTAAAAAGTTTTTGGATTCCTTTGCAGCTCAAAAACGTAATAGTCTCTGTAGTGGTATGCTGAGGGAATGTGAACAGCTAGGGATTCAGCTTGAATCTGGAGGGCAGTAAACAATGTAAAGGAAATGAAAGAATGAAAGGACACCGAGAAGTCCTTAAATTGAGATTAAATTATGGGTTGGCAGACTTTCTTCAATTTCTTCCATGCTACCTACCTGTTATCAACAGAAAGCACAGCACATCTGTGTACTACCAAATTTTTGGACAGGTTTGGCTGCAAGGGCAAGCAGTTGAGTCCTCTCGTTTTCTGAGGTTGTAGAGTCCATACATGATTTCGAAGCACTGTATTCTAGTGGGAACTTCCAGTTGTCCAGAAGCAGAGTTCTTTTCTCTCAAGGATTTCAGGAGAAGCCAAAATGAAGGTGATTCATACATTTCATCATTTAATATTGATTGAGCAGTAGTTACTACTTCTAACTCTGTGGCCTTGCATATACGTAATGCTTGAACTATCACTATTAGCCTGTGGTGCAGTAGTGCTGGGGGGGAGGATGGTACTGATGATGATGTCAGAAACTGCTAAGTACAGGAGCGTGACCTTCAGTTTGTTGTGAGGTAAAGGGGACAGGCAGATATATTAACATGTTCTTGTATAATCTGAAAAATGCTCTAACAGGTACAGGAAAGGCACCATGGAAGGCAGAGAAAGAAGAGAGTAGGGTTTATTTTGGGGGCAGGAAACATTCCAGACGGAGGAATGGAAAGTGCAAAGGCCCAATCGTAAAAGGATCCAGGAAAACATGAAAAATATTTTGTTATTGGTTGTTAGGATTCAGAGGTAGAAATGGTAGGGAGTGCTGAGAGTTGAGGAGCAGGTTGGGACCAGATGGGAAAGAGCATTTATGTGCTAAGCCTGTAGACTCTGTTTGAGAGACAACTAGAGCTAATAGGAACTTGAAGTGGAGCAGAATCACCAAGATGGTCTTTGTTGTTGTTGTTTTTAAGGCATCAGATAATTCCAAGAATAAATTAGAGATTGGAAGAGACTGATGGCAAGGAAATAAATTAAGAGGCTGTTGTAGTAGTCATTGAGAGAGAAATGGCCTAAACTAAGGTTTTTGGGGATGCCTGTAATCCAGGGATATTTCTGAAGTAGAATTGGTAGGATTTGTGACTAATGGAATGCAGGGGAACGAAAGGATGTCAAGGATGACTGTGGTTTCTGGCTTGAGCAGTTGAATTGAGCAAGGTGGGGGATTTAGCAAAGGTTTTTTTATGGGGAGATTTGTAGGAGTCTAAAGGGACATGAAGATAGAGCTAGCCGATGGGGTCTCCAGTGGGTGTAGATTTAGACTTGTGCATACGTAGTTGAAATGATAAAAGTGGGTGCAATCATTTGGGAAGCAGGAATGGAACCCTAGGGGGTATCATTTAAGATGTAAATAGAGGGAGGAGATTTACAAAAGAGGACTGAAAAGAGTAGCACAGGGAGGAGTAGGGAGAGAGCTGGGAGCTGACAGAGACACAGGAACCAGAAGGAAAAGGATAGTCAGGTGAAGAGGATGGTTGTTTACATAATCTTAGAGAAAAGGGACTATTTTTCTTTTCAGAGTAAAAGGGAGAAATGAGTATAAGTGCTGTTTTAGGTAAATCTAGGGGTAAAATTGAAATTGATTTTGATATTACATTGATTTGGTTTTCTTTTGCTTAACCCAAAGAACCATTTTTTTCTGTATTCTTCTTGATTTAGTTCCAACTGTTATGTTTTTTCTTTCGTACATATGCCCTTCTCTCGACAAAAAGTAGGATCACAAACTTAGGGATTCTCCTTGAAACTGGTACACTAGATATACACTTAAGATAAAATGACACTTTATTTATTTATTAAAACAGGAGCGCCAGCCACCACGTCAGCTACAACAGGCTTCAGTTTAGGATTCAGTAAACCTGCAGCATCTGCCACACCATTTGCTCTACCTATTACTTCTACCTCAGCTAGTGGTCTCACTCTTTCATCTGCTCTGACATCAGCTCCAGCAGGTGAGACAGAATGGAAAAAAGCTGCATTTAATGGCTAAGTTAAAATTTAAGTTAAGAGAATATAGATATCTGCCTTTATTAAACATAACTTCAGTTTGGGAAATTTTTATTTAATCATTTAGCAATTTTGACCTACTAAATTACTGATTTGTAAAGAAGAAAAGTCAGCACTGGGCATGAAAGCAGCAGAGACCATCTTGGGAGATGTTCTTAATTTACAGAGCAGAGGGTTAGAGGGCTAAAGAGATAAAATATAAAGCTGTTAATATCTGCTTTGTTTTCAGCAAGCCATTTGGTGAAAGGGAAGGGTAAAGACTTTGCATAAAGCTTGCCTGGCTTAGTATTTATTTAATTTTGAAGGTGGAGATGGTGGTTTGGGTTGAAAACTCTTTATTGCTGTCTAGAGTCAGTTACCTGGTAGCATTCTAATATTACACAAAGCCCTTATTTCTGTCACTGGTTTTTGTTTTGAAGCTACTATTTTTTTATTCTTAAATATATATGATTTATCTTTAGCAAGCAGTTTTTTCAAAGAGCCAGTTTTATCATGAAATCAATTTTTAAAAAAAATTTATTTGTATTTTTCTGTGGTGTTCGTAAATAATGTTGAAGGCTAACTCTCTGCTTTTTTTTTATAGCATCCACAGGATTTACTCTCAATAATTTGGGTGGAACAACCGCTACAACTACAACTGCATCAACGGGCCTTTCTTTAGGGGGAGCCTTAGCTGGTTTGGGAGGTTCACTTTTCCAGAGCACAAACACAGCAACATCAGGTAATTGGTGGTATTTATTCTCCAGAACAGTAAATATTTTGGCCTTTTGAATAGATCACTTTTTCTCTTCAATCTGTATGTTTTCTTTTAAGTATGAAAACTGAATTATAATTGGACATCTAAGCCATATTTTAGAAGTACATTTCCGGGCTGGCTGCATAGCTCAGTTGGTTAAAGCATGGTGTTATAACACCAAGGTCAAGGGTTCAGGTCCCTGAACCAGCCAGCCACTACCTATGCCGTCCCCACCCCCCTCAAAAAAAAGAAATGAGAGAAATACATTTTCTTCTTTCTCAATATTGACTCGTTGACTAGATAAGGAAAAAAGAGTGTGTTCAAGGAATAAGTAAACTTTTCTAGAGGCACTTGCCTTTTTAATAAGTGACAGTTAAATAGTCTTGGATCGCCTAAATTTATTGTAAGGCAACATGCCCTTTTAAGCCCCAGTTCTTGGAATGGCTTTCCATTATAGATGTCAGCAAAGGATATTAGCATGCTTTGAAGGTGAGATTTTAAAACACAGATATTAAATAATTTTACTGTAGTCATTAGGCAAATACTAAAGTATCAATTCACTTGGCAGAGAATACTGAATTAATGTTTTATATCGCAGGTTGTTACTTCATTTCATCTTTATTTTGAAATTTGCTTCATGTTGAGGATTCTACAAATGTTTTGAATATTGGCTATAGCTTATGCCAATATAGGAAATTTATATCTGTGGGAGCTTTGTAGAAATGAGAAAAGCTTTCCTGTTATTTGAAGAAATCATATAATTACTTCACAAAGCAATGTAGCAGTCAGGAATTTCTGTTTAATAGTTTACACATTAGGAAAAGTTGATATATGTTGAAATCATAGAATTTCCAATAATTTACAATGGCTATTTTTTCAGAAGTTTTGCTGAGCCACTAATATGTGTCTGGTATTTTGCTTGGTTGTATGGGACAGATGAAGAAATATTACTGGATGTTTTCTACCAAAGAAGCTGTAGTTCTTTTTTGTCATCTGTTCACATATTAAATTTAATGGAGAAAATCCAAATCAGTGGAAGGAGAGAAAAGGTCAGGAGAACCTGTAGAAATTTGTTGTGTTCATATTTGCATTGATCTTTTACATACTTATTTTTGTCATTATTGTCTATTGTAGATATTCAAAATGCCTCCTAATAACTAAATCATTAGATGACTAACACATTTCTTTCCAAGATAAATATTTAAATATCTCATAAAGATTCATAAAAAAGCAAAGTTAAAAAATAACAGAAAGGAGAGGTAGAGAGTGCTTTTATTTCTTTTTACCAAGTTTTTAGGTGTGCTGTGATTATTCTTAGATGCTTGACTTAATACTCAATGCTTATTTTATGGTTATGTTAACCTGAAGGTGCCATTGATTTTTTTAAAATTGTTATAATAGTAGTTATTTATTTAGCTGTGTTTTTGTCACACATCGCCAGAATTTAAATTCAGTTTTCAGTTATCCCGTGCTGTCAATTGCTGTTTCTTCTGTTTTAAAAATAGATAGCATCTTGTCTAGAAAGAACAGCAGTTTTGTCAGCTTTGCAATGCATGGATTTACAGAAATACAGATGTATGAACACAAGATTTTTGAAATTTTGCTACTTGACTCGCAGTTATACATTAATGACTGTGGTTAACTGTAGTCTAGTCCCTTTGATTCCTTGTATCAGTGAGGTGAGATTTAAATAAACAAATGAAGTCTACTACTTTTTTCAAAAGTTTTATGAAAAGAACTTGGTAGTATCAAAGTATATTCAGTTGTACTCTATGTGTGTTATCCTGATCTTATACTCAAATTTTGTAAATTCACACTAAATTATTTTCAAAGTATGCAATTCCAAAGTGTGATTGGAAGACAAGGTGTATTGACCTGAAAATATACCAACTGAAAGTATTTTTGTAGAAAGGGTTTTAAAATAAATTAAAAAATGTGTCCACATATATTGAATTAGCAGATACATTCTGGCCCTTTTAATAATTTTTTAAAATCACATCATTTGAACTACATATACCATTCAGTCTAAGCAAGATCAGTTATTGTCTAAAGTATGCTCTAGACTTGTTTCTTGTTATTCGCATAAATCAAAGATGAAGAAAATCTGGGATCCAACTTTAAAAGCCTTTGAGGGCTGGCCAGTTAGTTCAGTTGGTTAGAGCATGGTGCCAATACCAGTGTCCAGGGTTCAATCCCTGTACCTGGCTAGCTGCCAAAATAAATAAGTAAATAAAAGCGTTTGAGTGCTTTGGTCAGTAAGGGGAAATTTTATAAAGTCTTTCAAAGAAATTTGTAAATGACGTTTGCTTTATTTGTAGGACTTGGACAGAATGCTTTAGGCTTAACAATGCTTATTTTATGGTTATGTTAACCTGAAGGTGCCATTGATTTTTTTAAAATTGTTATAATAGTAGTTATTTATTTAGCTGTGTTTTTGTCACACATCGCCAGAATTTAAATTCAGTTTTCAGTTATCCCGTGCTGTCAATTGCTGTTTCTTCTGTTTTAAAAATAGATAGCATCTTGTCTAGAAAGAACAGCAGTTTTGTCAGCTTTGCAATGCATGGATTTACAGAAATACAGATGTATGAACACAAGATTTTTGAAATTTTGCTACTTGACTCGCAGTTATACATTAATGACTGTGGTTAACTGTAGTCTAGTCCCTTTGATTCCTTGTATCAGTGAGGTGAGATTTAAATAAACAAATGAAGTCTACTACTTTTTTCAAAAGTTTTATGAAAAGAACTTGGTAGTATCAAAGTATATTCAGTTGTACTCTATGTGTGTTATCCTGATCTTATACTCAAATTTTGTAAATTCACACTAAATTATTTTCAAAGTATGCAGTTCCAAAGTGTGATTGGAAGACAAGGTGTATTGACCTGAAAATATACCAACTAAAAGTATTTTTGTAGAAAGGGTTTTAAAATAAATTAAAAAATGTGTCCACATATATTGAATTAGCAGATACATTCTGGCCCTTTTAATAATTTTTTAAAATCACATCATTTGAACTACATATACCATTCAGTCTAAGCAAGATCAGTTATTGTCTAAAGTATGCTCTAGACTTGTTTCTTGTTATTCGCATAAATCAAAGATGAAGAAAATCTGGGATCCAACTTTAAAAGCCTTTGAGGGCTGGCCAGTTAGTTCAGTTGGTTAGAGCATGGTGCCAATACCAGTGTCCAGGGTTCAATCCCTGTACCTGGCTAGCTGCCAAAATAAATAAGTAAATAAAAGCGTTTGAGTGCTTTGGTCAGTAAGGGGAAATTTTATAAAGTCTTTCAAAGAAATTTGTAAATGACGTTTGCTTTATTTGTAGGACTTGGACAGAGTGCTTTAGGCTTAACTTTGGGAACTACAGCAGCTACTTCAGGGGCAGGCAATGAAGGCCTTGGTGGTATAGATTTTAGTAGCTCATCAGATAAAAAGAGTAAGTAATGTTATTGTAATTTTATGTTCTAATTGAACTATTAAGGGAACTTCTATGTCTGGAAAATCATTACTTATATATTCAGTAGTATAGTTTTTACTTTCAAGTTCATTTGCATTATCATTGATATTTCACAAATTTTGTGTGTTATGCATTTAAGGTTTTATTTTTGTAGATAACTTAGATTTTTATGTATATATGTCTTATGTAGCTACTTTAATAGGTATAGTAAAATGTATTTTTAAATTGGGATCATGATACATATATTTTGTAATCTGTTCATTCTTATATAACTTATCAGAAGCATTTGTTAATTCAGTAATTCTTTGAAAATATTTTAATGTTGCTTAACATCAATGTTATGAGTGGATATATCATAATTAGTCAATCATTGTCCTATTGTTAGGTGTTTCCAGTTTTTTTACTCTGGGAAGTATCACTGTATTGGGCATTTTCATATAAAGAGGTAACATAATATAGTAATTTTTTTGTTTTGTTTTGTTTTGTCTTTTTCCGTGTCCGGCAACAGATCGCAACCCTCAGTGTCGCCCCCGTACCGGACCGGGGACCGGCAACGGGATCGCAACCCTCGGTGTTGCTCCCGCGCCTCGCTCAGCCAGCGAGCGGGAACCGGTCCGCATGTGGGATCCGAACCCTCGGGCGGGAGCGCAGCCGCGCTTCCCAAGCGGCGCACTATCCAGTGCGCCACCGGGCCAGCCCATAATATAGTAATTTTAAGAGTGTCTGCTTTGTAGCTGTATTGCCAGGGTTCAAGTCCAGGCTCAATTACTTATAAGATCTATGACCTTATTCAAGTTAATTATCTTCTTTGTATTTTAGTTTTCCTTATATGTAAAGTGGTTGAGGACTATTATTTGTAAAACCTTAGTAGAGCTGGATGTATAGTAAATACCGTTTAGGTGTTTACTTACATTAGAAGTTTTTGTTCATATTTTTGGTCATTTCTATAGGGAAAATACCTAGAAATTGGATCACTGGCTCAAAGAGAGGGACATTTTGGAGATTCTTGGTGTATATATTGTGAAATTGCTTTATAGAAAGGTCTCACCAATTTATCCACTAGCCAGTATGAAAATACCCTTCTTGCTGTGCTCTTGCCACATTGAATATTATTTTTAAAAATTGCCAATCCAGATTCATTTTGAAAAGGTTTTATTGTTGGTTCTGTGTGTGAGACTTTTGTTTTGCGACAACTCTTCTGCTTCTGATGAAAGCATGTTTCACTACAGTATACTAAGTATTATATACGTACGTAAACTTTTACAGAAATTATGTTTATTTCTCTTTGGATGAAAATTAACTAATTTCTAAATAGTTCTTTCTCTCTCTTTTTTTTAACTTAGTTTTCTGTGTAGCAACTTTTAGAAAATAAGAAAAGTAGCCTTAGATGTTTCAGTAGCTTATTTTTTAACTCAGACGGAGAAGCCTGGTATCCGCCGCCCCGCCGCCGCCATCCCCACCAGCTACTTTTATTTTGAGCATGAAACTACTTCTCTCTTCATTGTAATTGCTTTTAGGCTGCATGTGAAGGAGCAGATTGAGGCAGAGGAGTAAAAGAAGTGTAAGAAGTAATCTCCCCTCTCCTCTGCCCCTGCCACCATTGTTTTGCTCTCACAATGTGCTTAAGCTAGAGTTGAGCAAAGAGGATACATAGAATAAAGGTACATGATTACATGTACTGCATCCCAGTTCCCTTTGCTATGTTATCTATGTCAAGGGATTCTTTTTTAATCTACAATTTTTTCTTTTTGATATCTGCTATATCAGTGGGATTTAACCAAGTGGAGAGTGGTAGGAAACAGCATTCTGTGAAGAGGGGACAGCATGGAGTGAGGCCTAGAAATGAGAAGGACCTTGACCCTTTTGAAGAACTGATAGAAGGCCAGTGTAGCCACAGAGCAGAACAAATTCCAGATGTCATGAAGGGCCTTGTTATGCCACACTGAGTTTTGTCAACATACTGAGGGTGATTAGGATCTACTAAAGGGATTCGATGAGATTTATATTTTAAGATTAAGAGCATTCTGGCAGTCATGTTGAAAATAATGTGCAGGAAGGTAAGACTAGATGTGGAGAACTGTTGGGAGGCTTTTGTGGTGATCCACGTATATTACTGGGATAAAGTTATGTAGACTAATGGGGTCCGTGGTAGAAACAGGCCCAAGTTTTTTTTATATATATATTTGTGTACATAAATATTTATAAAATGTAATAAAACATGGAATAACAAAGAAATAGTACACTAGTCAATAAATGTCAATGAATTACTTGGAAAAACATAAAATTAAATCTCTCTTTCTATTACCATGAAAATCTCCTCAAATCTGAGATATCATTTGTAGAAGATGGGTGCTAATTTCAGACATGTTAAAATATGAAAGAAAAAAATCTTCAGTGAAACACAAAATATCAGAAACTAAATTGCAGTGGATGAAAGAGGTAAAAAAGTGAAACCACATGTACAGAGATAAAAAGTAAATGATGAATTAGAAGTAAAATACTTCATTTTTAGGTGCATATTTTTTTCACCTTTTAACATCTCTGAAATTAAGATGTATCTTTCAATTATAAGAGTCTAACTTTTATAGACACATGAAATGATATAAGACAGAATGTGCTTAATGTCAAAATAGTTCTTAGAAATCAGAAAAGAATACGTCAAGAGAATGTTACAGATCACATGAGTAAGCAGTTTACAAAAGGAGAAATATACTTGTCTAAGTAATGAACATTGATAAAAATGTTTTACTTCATTAGTATTATAGGAAATATGAATCAAGATGAATATGAAGTAGCATTTTTCACCTATATGACTGGCAAAGATTTCTTTAAAAATATGGTGTTCATTGTTGTGAAGGTGTAATGCAGAAGGCACACTTACTCTTGGCAGACGGGAAGGTAAATTGGGACATTGTTTTAAAAGATTGTCGCATTGGAGAAGAAATTCAGGTAATCTTACATGTTATAGTGTTCTGTACTGATAGGGCCTTAAAAAGTGTCAGGTAAAGCTGTCAGAAGTTAAACTAGCAGCCAAGAATATAAACTATCAATGTAGGATATTTCTTATAGAAGATAGTTGAGAATGGAAGATTCTTGCCCATGAAACAGATGCAAATCAGCTATATAACTCTGTTCATGTGTACAGATGTCTCCATAATATACTATGTTCTTTTAAGCTCGTGACTTGTCATGAAATTAAATGTGATGTTTAAGAGACTAGCTAAGAAATGCTGAACAGTTTATATTTATACCTTAATTTGTGTTTATTTAAAATTTGTATTTGGAATAAATACCTTTTTTTACCTATTTTTACACAAAGCTTCTTGAATTTTCTAGGTGATAAAACAGGAACAAGACCAGAGTAAGTTTACAATTTAACTTTAAAATATTTTAATTAAAGAGTTTTACTTACTACATCATAGGCAGATGGTATGGTTAGAAGTAAATGGAACTATGTACACACATGTAGAAGAAAAAATAATGTTTTAACCAGTGTTTGTCAAAAATAAAATAATAAACATATGCTCTAGAAAGATTATGAAAGGTCATATCTTTAATTTTTTTTTTTCCCTTTTTGTCTTTTTTCGTGACCGGTAACGGGATCGCAACCCTCGGTGTCGCTCCCGTACCGCGACCGGCAACGG